AGACTGTCTCTAAGTGAACGCATGAATGAATGGAGTCAGGCCTGAAGCGATTTATGAGACTGGGCAGGGCTTAGGGGTCCCAAGTGTGTAAATTTCTGAGACTGAATGCTGATAAAAAGCCAGGTGGGGTGGCCCATGCTTATAATCCCAGCACTCGGGGAGGCTATGGCAGAAGGAGCTGAAGTTCAAGCCTAGCCTGGGCAATTTAGTGAGACCCTGATTCAAAATTTTTTAAAAAAGGCCAGCAGATGTTGCTCAATACACAGGCCTTGGGCTCCATGCCCAGTATTAAAGGAAAAAAAAAAAAAAAAAGAACGCTAACAACAGATGTGAGGGGACCACACTTCCCTTAGCAGGGGGACTCACAGCACAGCAGCGAGCTGACATCAGGAGGCACAGGAAGCCTGGTGAAGGCACGAGTGGTAAAGGGTACAGCAGGCCTCGGAGTCCCCAGAGCACCCCGTGGCTCCCTCGCCTCTGGGAAGGATATGTGGCGGGGGTACCGGCGGAGCGGGGACACCATTCTGCGGGGGTCTCTCTGCACCCGCTCCACCAACCCATGGTGCCGAGTGCTCCGTGACGAATCCAAAGGTGAGTGGAGGGGGCTCTGCCAAAGTGACAGGTGAGTCAGTGGGGGGCCGCCCAGAGCCTCTGCCCCAGCATGGCCACCATGTGCACCCACCTGGAACTCAGCCAGGCCACAGCCGATCTGGTTAACGTTGGGCAGAGAGCCACCGTAATGGGAGCTCCTGGTGTACGCCAGCCGCAGCTTTTGGGCCTGTAACTGAGACATGAGGACGAACGGGAATATCAGGGAGGGTTCTGAGCACTATTCGTCTGGTCATCCTTGCCATTCCTGGCAGCAGGATGTACTGCGACTGCTTTTAAGGTACAGAGGACCTTCACGTTACAACCGGCCTGACATGCGCACAACTTGGGTACTCTAGGTTAATGTGAGATTCATTTGCCTCTTTTTATTTTTGATTTTTTTTTTTTTTGGTACCGGGGATCAAACTCAGGACCATGCACTTGCGAGGCAGGTGTGCTGCCGCTGAGCTAAACCCCCAGCCCTTCATTTGCCTCGTTACCTATAGTGTGTACCCAGGTAAAACATCCAGGTATCAGCTGTATTGACTTACAACCAACTTGAGGAGTTACAACCAGCCCTCATGAAAGATTGAGTTCATAAGTCAAGAGACCACTATAACTGACAGAAAGCAAGCCAGGGCTGGAATAAGGATGCACCAAGACCTGGTGCAAACTACCCACCCTCGCCCCTCTGCAGGGAACGGTGCTCTGGGCAGCTCTGCTTCCAGTTCTGAACAAGCCCAACACGAATTAGAAGAGCTCCATCGTTGCCAGCCTCTCCCCTTCCCACTCTGGACAGTGTAGGTTTCTGGTTCTGCCACTTGCCTAACCTCGGGAGGCTACCAAAGCCCGCACCTCTCAAAGCGGAAGATCCAACGGATGACAGCTCTCCTAAAGAGGAAAGTGGTGCCAAAACCAAGGGGCATTTTCTCTAGGATGCTAAAGCCCCTGAGTTAGCAGAAGCCTGGAGAATTGGGGTGGAGAAGGTACAGAAGCCCACTCCAGCCTGGGCCAGAGCCACCCCTGGCCTCCTCCCAGATTGAGAGAGATACGTCCGGTGCAGGAGTGAGATACCAATCCCTCAACCGGACAGGGGCTAGTCTTGTCTGCAGCTCTCACGTCCCTGATGAGAGGTGAGTAGCTTCCCCCAAGGTTGAGCCACTATCAGGAGCCAAATAAATAGACCCAGGGCAAGGCCATGGTGAGGAGGGCAGCTGAGGAGCGGTGTGCTGAATTTCCAAGGTCACAATGTTGCTCAGAAACCAACACCAGACATGCCCTTCTGTTCCAGGAGATCAGCTCAGTGAGTTCAGTGGCCCCTGGGCTACTTCACGACTACTATTAATACTATACATAGGGCAGCCCAACCTTCCAGTGGCATAGGCCCCTGTGGCCATGTCTGCCTCACATGATCCCTCCCAGCTGGCCATGCCACAGGCTGGGCTCCAGGTCTTCTATCTCCAGCTAAGGTTTTTGGAGTCCCAAGCCCCAGCCAAGTCTGTCCACTAGGCTCTTCTGTACTGTTAACTAGTAGAGGAACAAACGGTAAGGGCTACGAGAAGGAGAACTACCAGCTTTGAGTTTCTCACAGCCTTTGTCAGTTTGCACATTCAAGCTGTAGGATCAAGCCTCTGCTAAATCACAGTCCAGGGGGCAGGCCCTCAAGCTGTCAGGTGGAGATTGGTCTCTCTTCCATCTTGTTTCTGTCCCTACCGTGATCAACAGCTCCTAAAAGGAGCAGTCAACAGATCTCAATCCTCATGGTGATGAGAACGTGTATGAGCACACATGCACATGCACTCGCGCACACACACACACACACACACACACACACACACCAAATCTGCCTTTCCACCATCTTCTTCTGTTCTGACTTCCACCAACTAGGGCACGTGGTCCCTAGAGACTCCAAGGAGAAAAATACAAAAAAGACTAAGAGTCAAGGGAGATGCATACAAAGACACAGAGTCACAGCCAGATGCAATCAGTCAGGCCAGCCTTAAGGTCCTTGAAATGTATTTAGGTTCCACCTTCTCCTCTTGAATTCCTCCCGTCTTTGCCATGAGGAGTCTCTGCAGTATCCTCACCTTCTGTTGTGAGAATAATGTGTCCCTAAATTAGGACTGCCTACTAAGCTGTGCAAACTCCTGCCCTGGCTCCCTCCGATATCCAGTTCTGGGAATCAAGAACTCAAGAGTAGAGGGGCTTCAGAGGCATCTTGGCAGAGGCCTGAAAGTTCTTTATCAAGCTTCCTAGGAATGAATATCCCCGACCAATAAAGGACTCTCAAAGATACTCCAGAAAGCATCCATCTCTCTGGAAGGCTCAACAAACATAGACGTAGGGCTCCAAACAACCTGTAGCACATTGGTTACCCACTTAGGATTCAAAGCTCTACCTTTCCTTCAAGGCGGCCAGGACTAAACACTAAGTACCAGTCTGTGAGCAAAGGACCTCACCTTCACGTCAGGAAACCACAGAAGTATTTGAAAAAGGAAGCACGGGGACGGGACGCAAGAGGGGACTTCCTGACCCGCTATACCCAGCACTGCTCCTTCAAACCACTCGAAAGGCCTTTTCCCGTAGGCACCAAAGCGCAGAGTGGCCCGACGGAGCAGAGAAACCAGACTGGAAAAGATCACGAATTCAAAGAAGCCAGGTTACGGACAAGCAAGCCATCCTCCCCAGCCCACGACCCGAGATCTCGGATGCTCAGTCCTCCTGGGGACTCCGCCAGGGGTGCACAGGGACCACCCGCCTCCACCAGGCGTCGGGGACCATTCTACTGGCCCACTCCCGCGATAGGGACTCGGCCCCAAGCCGGGGTCTCTCCCGAGAGGCGGTCTGCCGGCGAAATCCGCCTTCCTGCCCCGGCGCTCAACTCGCGCCTCCCGGGCGGCGGGGCCCACC